TTGTTTGGCGGGTCCGGGCTGGGGATTCGAACCCGCCACCTTAGGTGTACGTGGCTGGCGCCTTAGCCGGTTGAGCTATAGGCGCCGAGCCAAACTTTTTTTTCTTAACATCTTATATCCTATCTTATGGTAGAGATGGTTATATGAAGGCAGAGGTAGGCTGGAGCCTGTTTTTACCGGCTTGCCAGAACCAATTATGTGCATCTCTTCCCAATTCTTCCTTCAGAAGCTATAGGTTGGCAGCATGTAATTGGCCACAGAAACCAGCAACTACTACTATTAGAGCTCCCCACCCCTACCCTCCAGAGCCAGGTGTTATTCACACCATTGGATAGCCCCTCCCCTCATACCTAATCTTCCCTTTTCTACTACAATTTTTATCACGGGGTGGTAGCCATTACTAGCACTAGGATGTGAGTGAAGTGATAGGGACAACCCTATCCTATGGTTTGAAATGTTGCTATTATGAAATTGAACTTTGAGTTCTTGGCGTAGAAGATGCATGTTGGGAATGGCAGAGCTAACAAGACAGAAATAGCCCGAGTTTCCTAAATCACAGAATTATGCCAATGCTGAACTACTTACATTTGGAATGTTTCATGAGGGTTTAAGGCACTGTTATTTTCAGCTATAGAGCAACCGGATACTTAGTTTAATACATGTTCAATGTACCATATTCAGATTATAAAATGTTCTTTTTTTTTTTTTGCAGTTTTTGGCCGGGGCTAGGTTTGAACCCACCATCTCTGGCATATGGGGCCAGCACCCTACCCCTTTGAGCCACAGGCACCGCCCCTTTTTTTTTTTTAAGACAGTCTCATTCTATTGTCCTGGGTAGAGTGTGGTGTCACAGCTCATAGCAACCTCAAACAGGTGCCTACCACAACACCCAGCTAGTTTTTCTAATTTTAGTAGACAGGGTCTCACTCTTGCTCAGGCTAGTCTTGAACTCTTGAGCTCAGGCGATCCACCCACCTTGGCCTCCCAGAGTGCTAGGACTGCAGGTGTGAGCCGCTGTGCCTGACCCATTTTTTAAAAAAGTGTTCTAAGTTCTTAAATTCTAGACATAACCAGAGATAAGTTCTGGTCTAGGACTTAATGAGTAAATGATCTTTTCACTTTTTTTTTTTGGCCAGGGCTGGGTTTGAATCCACCACCTCTGGCATATGGGGCCAGCAGCCTACTCCTTGAGCCACAGGTGCCGCCTGAGTAAATGATCTTTTCTATCACATAGATAAATCATTCAAAAATACTAATGGTATCAAATTATTTATACTATATTTTGCTTTTATATACAAGGTGGCCATAAAGTTCATGTACAATTTAAAATAGACAACTATTTTATATCTGCACATTTATTTCTATTCTGTACCTTATATCTATTATAAAGTAATCTATTTTTATTAACGTATCAATTTACAAGATTTCCTACTAATGATCATTTAGGCTGTTTTTTTTGAGACAGAGCCCCAAGCTGAGCCCCTGGGTAGAGTGCCCTGGCTTCACTGCTCACAGCAACCTCCAACTCCTGCGCTCGAGCGAGTCTCCTGCTTCAGCCTCCCAAGTAGCTGGGATTACAGGCGCCCGCCACAACGCCCAGCTATTTTTTGGCTGCAGCCATTATTGTTGTTTGGCGGGCCTGGGCTGGATTCAAACCCGCCACCTTAGGTGTATGTGGCTGGTGCCTTAGCTGCTTGAGCCACAGGCACCGAGCCAATAATTCTCTTTGTAGAATTTTTTTTTTTTTTTTTTGCAGTTTTTGGCCGGGGCTGGGATTGAACCTACCACCTCCGGTATATGGGGCCAGTGCCCTACTCCTTGAGCCACAGGTGCTGCCCTCCATTTAGGCTGTTTTAACCTTTTTTTTACACTTTATTTATTTATTTAGCAGTTTTTGGCCATGGCTGGATTTGAACTCGCCACCTCTGGCATATGAGGCCAGTGCTCTACTCCTCTGAGCCACAGATGCCACCCCTATTTTTTATTTTTTGAGACAGAGTCTTACTCTGCGGCCCCAAGCTAGAGTGCCATGATGTCATAGCTCACAGCAATCTCAAACTCTTGGGCTCAAGGGATAGATCCTCTTGTCTCAGCCTCCCTAGTAGCTGGGACTATCAGCATATGGGGCCGGCGCCCTACCCATTTGAGCCACAGGCACCACCCCAATGCCTGGGTAGTTTTTCTATTTTTTGTGGAGACCAGGTCTCAGTACTGCTCAGGCTGGTCTCAAACTCTTGAGCTCAAGCAATCCACCTACCTCAGCCTCCCAGAATGCTGGGATTATAGGAGAGCCACTGAGCCAGGACTATTACATCATTTTCATACAATGTTGCAATAAACAGTTTTACTTATATTATTATGCATCAGCAAATATTTGGAAAATCACCTAGAAATGGAATTGTTCAGTCAAAAATATGTGAGCTAAAATTAACTTTTTTTTTCTGAGACAGAGTCTAACTTTGTCACCGTCAGTACAGTGCCGTGGCATCATAGCTCACAGCAACCTCAAACTTTTGGAGCTCAAGCGATTCTCTTGCCTCAGCCTCCAAGTAGCTGTGACTATGGGTGCCCACCACAATGCCTGGCTATTTTTAGAGACAGGGTCTCTGGCTCAGGTTGGTCTCGAACCTGTGAGCTCAGGCAATCCACCCTCCTTGGCCTCCCAAAGTGTAAAATTAAGTTCTAATGGCTTTGTATTGTCTTTCCACTTTAAGATTATAAAAGATACTTACCTGTATTTTCTGGTTCTACTGTCACAACTTCCTTAATAAAGTTAAAATATACACACCCCCCCCTCATGCTTTGATACACTAAAATTTAATCTGGGTTAAATAATTTTGAGTACTACTATAAATCTTGCTAGTCACAGAAACAAGGTATGAACAAATGAACATAGGTGGGGACACACAGCAGCACCAAACCCTTGACTTCCTGGGTAGTCACCTCTTTCTTGTCAGATATGCAACTGGCATCATACCACATACTCTGCATGTACCCATGACAGCTAAGTGGCAAGGAGGGTGGTGGAACACACGTTTCCTTCATCCAAACAACTTGTCCACTAGGCACGGTGGCTTACACCTATAATCCTACCACTGAGGCGGGAGATCTGCTTGAGCTCAGGAGTTTGGGACTTGTCTGAGCAAGAATGAGACCCTGACTCATAAAAAAATAAATGAAAAACCCAGCCGGGTGCCATGGCAAGCACCTGTAATCCCAGTGGTTTTCAGAGGCTGAGGCAGCAGGATGCTCACAGCCTGAGTCTGAGGTTGCAGTGAGCTATGATGCCACTGCACTCTGCTCAAGGCATAGGGTGGGACTCTGAACAACAAAAACCAAAAAAAAAACAAACAAACACAAGGAAACAAACTTGTCCATTAATAATCTGTTTATAAGTACTGTATGCCTCTAGAGCACGGCTTAACAGGGGCAGTATTGGCACTTTGGCTAGATAATTCTGTTTGGGGGAACTATCCTGTGCATTAAAGGATGTTCAACAGTATTCCTGACCTCCACCCACAAGATGTCAGTAGCACCCTCCCCCTTTCCTTCATTTTCTAGCTGCTCTATTTTTTTTTTTCTTCCTTGCAATTTTTGGCTGGGGCTAGGCTTGAACCCACCACCTCTGGTATGTGGGGCTGGCGCCCTACTCCTTAACCCACAGGCACCACCCTCTAGCTGCTCTATTTATACAGGCAAACTGCATTTTTTTCTTTCTTTAGAACACATTTTATTTTTGCTTTTTGTATTACAGAAGATGTACATATCAAATATTAAAGTCAATAGATACACAACATAGCCTACAACTCAGACTACTCTAACTGAACAGGCAAAGAATTATTTAAAAAATAGCACTTGGTAAAATTTTGAGGACAATACAATGACTAAAATAGGTTTAAAGTAGTACTTTTAAGTCATCTAATATTCAACACTATATAATGAATACAGCCAAAAGATAGTTATGCAAAATGTTAACATCCAGGAACACGACCAAAGTTAAGACAGCAAATAAACCCTGTGTAACTTATTTTATCAGAAAATGTTATGTTAAGATAGCAAAAACCTGTGTAACTTTTTTAGCAGAAAAATATATCATGCTAAGACAGCAAAAAAAAACGTTACTTTGTTAGCAGAAAAATACTTCATGTTAAGACAGCAAAGGAAACCTGTGTAACTTTGTTAGCAGAAAAATATCTCATGTATGCATATAACTTCACACTTTTAAAGAAAATGTTTTGCAGTTATCACCCCCCTCCCCCGAAAAACCACACATCAAATTACTAAGTATATTACTAAAAACAGAAACAAACATTTAGAAAATACAATTTTAAAATGACATAAATAAGTGAATTTCAAATTTCTAAGACTACGAAAAAGTCCCATTTTTAACACAGTGGTATAAAGAAGTGTCTCTTGATGTAAAGTTCAGGAATTATTCTCCTGTTGGGACCAAACTTGACATAAGCACTGTTCTAAAACAAGATAAAACATCTTAGAAATATTATCTTACATAAAGGCTTACTGTTTAAAATTTTTATTTTTACTATTCCATCAAAATGTGGACTTTAAGTATGTATCATTCATTTTTAAAAACTCTTTTCTAGAAACAACACACAAAGGAGATGCAATTTTATTTTCAACTGCAACTGCTGGCATACACTTCCCGAGTTGAGAAGGGTCTTCTCTCTTCTTTTCACTGGCCGCTTTTGTTCTTGGCGTGAGTTAGGATGTGCGACTTCAGGTTAGTTGACTGCGCAAACTTCTTATTGCAAGCGTCGAAAGGGCACACGTAGGGCCTATCTCCCGTATGGATTCGCACATGAGTGCGCAAATTAAAGTCCAGGGAAAAACGTTTTCCACAGCCTTCAAATGTGCACTGGAATGGCTTCTCTCCAGTGTGAACTAGCTGATGCCGTTTTAATTTTGAGCTTTCCACAAAAGCTTTGCCGCATTCAGCACAAACGTGGACTCTGGGGCCATGGGTGTGCAGGTGTTTTCTCATCGAGGAGTTATCTCGGAACATCTTGCCGCAGCCTTTATGAGGGCAAGGTACCGTTCTGGGAACATCTTCCTTGGGCTTTTTGGGCTTCATTTTAGTAAATCGTGCCAATTGTTTGGGATCGGAGAGGTCCATGCCAGGTATGCCCTCAGGAGGAAGTTTCTTCCCAGTCATGTACTCGGAATAATCAGGAGATGAGTTATCAGTTTGTCTTTCAGTTCCTGCCTCTTTCTGATCAACAGGGGACCACATGGTAACAGAGAACTCACCCTCTAGGGTTTTGATCTGGACCGGCTTCTGCTCCCACTTCCTACTGCTGCCCACGTCCGAGCTGCTGCCTCCCTGCTTGGTCAGCGTGCTGGTTTGACTCTTGCTACCGGCCTTCTTGCTGCGCTTCTTGCTGCGGGTCGGTTTTGATGTTGATGCAGAAGCTGTCAAAGAAGCAAGGGTCTGTCGGAAGAAGCCATCTTCGTTCCCAAGCGGGATGACCATCTGGTCCTCAAAGTCATTGTTAGCCTGTGGGTTGTCAGAGTCATAGTACCCCACAACTTCTTCTTGTGTCTGCACCATGATCAAGTCCTGATCAGGGTCCCCGTTGTTAAGGAAGAGTGGCTGCAGCCCTATCAGAGGTGGGTGGTTGTGGCCTCCATAGATCCAACTGCCGCTGAGATCTTCGTACTCCTCGAAGGCATCGAGGGACATAGTCTCTATAGGAATGGCATCCATAGCGATCTGGTCCAGCTCCACATCTGAGGTAATGTCCAAGTTTTCTGTGGAGAGGTAGAGCGCCTCGTCTGAGGCCATGGCCGAGAGCTCTGTGGTGGTCTTGGCTACTCGGCTGTTGGTAGCTGACTGGAAGGCCGTGGGAAAATTAAAAGGCTGAGGGAAAGAGGCACGAGCCCCAGAGCCCTACGGAAAGGTGGGGGCTCCAGAGAGAGGAGGGAGCCAGAAGAAAACACCGAGTACCAAAAGAAAGTAGTCCGTTAAGACCGGAGCCGCAGGTGCTTCTGGGTGAGAAGCGCATGCGCGTGAGAACCCAATGCTTCCGCTGGTTGACCACGTGCAAGGCCACGCCTAGCCCCCTGTGCTCATGCGCAGACTTCATGCGCTTGTTAACTCTTCCACGTCCCTGCCCAGATAGGTATCGTTTATTGGATATTTATTAACCATGATCTTCACTGTTTTTCTGTGTTTTATTTAAATTGATTTTCTTGTCTTCTCCCCTCCCTCCACATGACAGTATCTGCACAAAAATTTAAAAAGCCTGCTCCTTTCTAATATTTATACTTTCTCCCCTCTTCTTTAATTGTACTAAGATACAGCAACGTTTAATATCAGTAATAGTTGATAGCGGGTTTGCTTGTTGTCCTTTAATAGGAATACTTCTAAGTATTATACCACTGTGAAGTATCCACCTATTCCTCCTTTTTTACTAAGAATTTTAAAAAAGCTAATGGATGTTGAATTTTGTTAAATTATTGTCTCAGTATCTTCTGAGATGAGGAATCTTTTCCCCCAACAGCATTCAAATAAATTTCCTAATGTCGAACCATCTTTGCATTCTTGAGATAAGCCATGTGTCCAGTAGGTTGTTTTTGTGTTTTACCAGATGTTTTATCAACATCCTGTTTGCTTTACTTATTTTTTTTTCTCAGCCTCCTGAGTAGCTTGGTAAATGTTGGCTTTAAAAAAGAAAAATCTTTGTTTCCTTCTCTATGTGTTCTGTTAAACTTATACTAAATTGGAATTAAAAAGAAAAGTACTTTCAAGATCTGAAAGAATTTCACCTATGAAATTTTTAGGGGCATTCTTCACCAACTTTTCTTCATTTCTTTTTTTTTTTTTTTTT